GCCAATTTGAATGCCGACTCAGGCAGATGCACTCCGACTTAAAATGAAGCGTCACTAATTAGTCGATTCTTACGACATGCGTGTAACGGGGCAGTGGGTCCTCCCCCCCCCCCAGACAACGGGGTCACGAAACCCACACGGGAATTATCATTAATCAGTCGGTTGCTCTATTGGTGAAGTGATTGCCGGCATTTCCAGATACACCTTTGAAGTTAGGTCGGTATGGACGTTTGGTGGTAAGGACGTTCGGCTGCATTGCTCAACCACAACGAAATCGTCACGTAAAACCAGCATCCCCAAAGGGAAGCTTTATGTTATATATGTGACAAGGTTATGCGCGCCATTTAAAATGACTTAGCACGCCACCTAAAGCCATGAAAGGACTCCTGTAGTGTTGATGTCATCAAAGGAGACAGAAATAAATACTGTCCCGACCGGCGACGAAGTCGTCTACCGCCAAATTTTGGGGTAAGGACGGCTAAGTGTCAGTGCGTTTATTTCCCCCGCAGGGGTTCTGGGGCTCCGGTTTTGTTGTTGTTGTTGTTGTTGGGAAGGTGGGGGGGGGGGATAATAGGCTCATTGCCCCCACACCTCCAACAAGCATGTCGTAAGAGGCGACTAATATGTGGTCTTCCTTCGAAGTTGGAGTCCATCTGTCTGACAGTCTACACACAAGTACACTAGATCTGTAAAGCGGTTGTGCAAACAAAGCTCGTGTTTTGGAACAAGACTAAAGTCCAAAAGTGGACGAACAACCAGAACTTTCCGCCGGAGTTTACACTGGCGAAAGCTAAAAAGAAGAGTGGTCTCTTTTCTCCCCGCCCCTTCGCCGCCCTACTACCCCCTCCCCCCCCTCCCCACTCGCTCCTTAAACTGTCCTTTCCTCCTCTTGATGCTGCAGTTCAACCAAGGACAGAGACTGTTCAACTCCGTTAAAATACAACTTTCCAGCAGCAGAAGTAAATCTACAAAAAGCCATTTGGGCAGCAATAGAGTTCTATTGATAGAAAATGGAAGAAACATTGGAATTCTCATGCCATGACTCAGCCACGCCGCTGTTCTACTTTCTTTTACTTTCTGGTCGGTATTCGGGTCACTGTGAAATTTTTGCATTAGTTTCCCTTCCAGAAGGAGGACAAATGAATCAGATGGGTTTGTATTGAATTGAGATAATGGCCTCGTTCTGAACTGTTGACAGTTTGTTTTTGTCTTACACAGAGGGTTATGGTAAAGAATGTCTTGTTGACCTGGGGAAACGGTTGTCTCTTTCTATTTTCTTGTTAAAGTCCATTCCGTGTGGCGTTGGTTGTCATGTCTATCCACAACCTTCTGTCTCGTGTACTTTCAGTCAGCTCTGACACAGACGGTTTTCCATAGTCCATGCCGTGTGGCGTTGGTAGTAATGTCTATCCACAACCTTTTGTCTCGTGTACTTTCAGTCAGCTCTGACACAGATTATCATTCATGCCATGATGTCAAACTGTCCAGCATCTTTTCTCTCGGTCTCCCCTGACTTTTTTCCCCTTCAGCTTTCCCGCTGTCACGATGTACTCCAGTTTTCTTCTTCTCATCACATGATCAAATCTCCCCAAAGTATATCATGATCCTCGCCGCTGCTACGAGTTCGTGCACTGCGCTGAAATTCTTCGGACTCAGGCTTTCAGTTAGAAGTAGAAAATAGCACTTATGGGTACTGTCCTTGTGTCATAATGTTGATCCTTTGTTTAAACATAAACCACCACTGAGAGCCATAGCTGCAGCTAAGGAAGTTCGTGCTGTCTCTTTTGCCTCCTTCCGGACAGAGACCTACATATATTACATAAAACAAAAAGCAACGAAGTCTATCAGTTCGCTTTTCGCCTTTTTGTTTTTCCCTTCTTCTTTGCGTTCACTGGCTGTAAACTCTGGATTTTTCGCGTTCACCAGCTGTAAACTCCAGCTTCTTTACGTTCATCGACTGTAAACTGTAGCTTCTTTACGTTCATCGACTGTAAACTCCAGCTTCTTTACCTTCACCATCTGTAAACTCCAGCTTCTTTACTTTCACCATCTGTAAACTCCAGCTTCTTTACATTCACCGACTGTAAACTCCAGCTTCTTTACGTTCACCGACTGTAAACTACAGCTTCTTTACTTTCACCATCTGTAAACTCCAGCTTCTTTACATTCACCGACTGTAAACTCCAGCTTCTTTACGTTCACCGACTGTAAACTCCAGCTTCTTTACGTTCACCGACTGTAAACTACAGCTTCTTTACGTTCACCAGCTGTAAACTCTAGCTTCTTTACGTTCCCCGACTGTAAACTCTAGCTTCTTTACGTTCCCCGACTGTAAACTCCAGCTTCTTTACGCTCACCGACTGTAAACTTCAGCTTCTTTACGTTCCCCGACTGTAAACTCCAGCTTCTTTACGCTCACCGACTGTAAACTCTAGCTTCTTTACGTTCATATACTGTAAACTCCAGCTTCTTTACGTTCCCCGACTGTAAACTCCAGCTTCTTTACGCTCACCGACTGTAAACTCCAGCTTCTTTACGTTCACCGACTGTAAACTCCAGCTTCTTTACGTTCACCAGCTGTAAACTCCAGCTTCTTTACGTTCACCAGCTGTAAACTCCAGCTTCTTTACGTTCACCAGCTGTAAACTCCAGCTTCTTTACGTTCACCGACTGTAAACTCCAGCTTCTTCAAGTTCACCATCTGTAAAGTGTAGCTTTTTTACGCTCACCATCTGTAAACTACAGCTTCTTTACTTTCACCATCTGTAAACTCCAGCTTCTTTACATTCACCGACTGTAAACTACAGCTTCTTTACGTTCACCGACTGTAAACTCTAGCTTCTTTACGTTCACCAGCTGTAAACTCTAGCTTCTTTACGTTCACCAGCTGTAAACTCCAGCTTCTTTACGTTCACCAGCTGTAAACTCCAGCTTCTTTACGTTCACCGACTGTAAACTCCAGCTTCTTTACGTTCACCAGCTGTAAACTCTAGCTTCTTTACGTTCACCAGCTGTAAACTCTAGCTTCTTTACGTTCACCAGCTGTAAACTCCAGCTTCTTTACGTTCACCGACTGTAAACTCCAGCTTCTTTACGTTCATATACTGTAAACTCCAGCTTCTTTACGTTCATATACTGTAAACTCCAGCTTCTTTACGTTCATATACTGTAAACTCCAGCTTCTTTACGTTCCCCGACTGTAAACTCCAGCTTCTTTACGTTCACCGACTGTAAACTCTAGCTTCTTTACGTTCATATACTGTAAACTCCAGCTTCTTTACGTTCACCAGCTGTAAACTCCAGCTTCTTTACGTTCACCGACTGTAAACTCTAGCTTCTTTACGTTCATATACTGTAAACTCCAGCTTCTTTACGTTCACCAGCTGTAAACTCCAGCTTCTTTACGTTCATATACTGTAAACTCCAGCTTCTTTACGTTCATATACTGTAAACTCCAGCTTCTTTACGTTCACCAGCTGTAAACTCCAGCTTCTTTACGTTCATATACTGTAAACTCCAGCTTCTTTACGTTCACCGACTGTAAACTCCAGCTTCTTTACGTTCATATACTGTAAACTCCAGCTTCTTTACGTTCATATACTGTAAACTCCAGCTTCTTTACGTTCACCAGCTGTAAACTCCAGCTTCTTTACGTTCATATACTGTAAACTCTAGCTTCTTTACGTTCACCGACTGTAAACTCCAGCTTCTTTACGTTCATATACTGTAAACTCCAGCTTCTTTACGTTCACCAGCTGTAAACTCCAGCTTCTTTACGTTCATATACTGTAAACTCTAGCTTCTTTACGTTCACCGACTGTAAACTCCAGCTTCTTTACGTTCATATACTGTAAACTCCAGCTTCTTTACGTTCATATACTGTAAACTCTAGCTTCTTTACGTTCACCAGCTGTAAACTCCAGCTTCTTTACGTTCATATACTGTAAACTCTAGCTTCTTTACGTTCACCGACTGTAAACTCCAGCTTCTTTACGTTCATATTCTGTAAACTCCAGCTTCTTTACGTTCATATACTGTAAACTCCAGCTTCTTTACGTTCACCAGCTGTAAACTCCAGCTTCTTTACGTTCACCGACTGTAAACTCCAGCTTCTTCAAGTTCACCATCTGTAAAGTGTAGCTTTTTTACGCTCACCAGCTGTAAACTCTAGCTTTTTTACGTTTACCAGCTGTAAACTCTAGCTTCTTTGCCTTCACCGCACCAGCTTCCTCGCGTTTACTGCTGTAAACTTCAACTTCTTTGCGTTCACCAGCTGTAAACTTCGGCGAACAGTTTTGGATTATTGTCCATTTCTGGAGTTTGGTCTTGATCCAGAACTAGAGTGTTGCATGACTATTCGTTTACAGCTCTAGCGTTTTTTCATGCAGCTTTTTGGTTCCTTGTACTCCGACTTTGAAGGAAAACATCTTTTGAACACTTTAACTTATACACAGGAAGCCGCGATAGCACAGCCAACCCCAAGGTCCTGTGTTCGGATTGTTGATTACTGACTTTAGCTCGCAGGTCGACCTAGCCTACCACTGATAACAGGAAATATCCTGGAAGGTAAAGGCGGCAGACGTGATGTTAACCTCATCACCGATTCAGTGCCTGTTGGTCTGCTTCATGCACCACTGGAGTGGAAAGGATTCCTAATCCTTCAATTACAAATTCCCTTTATCCTCTTGCTGTGACAGTTCATGTGTTCGTTTTACGGACGCTTCGTACTGTTCGAGAGTTTACTTACTGTTTACGGAGATCAATGTGGATTGTCGCTGGAGCTAGGGACTTCGTGCTTTGTGCCTCAATCTCGGCGGGAGGGCAACTGTTCTGTGGAGAGACTAAGTCATATAGGATAAAACCCGGTAAGTAAAGTCACGCCTCTCGACTTTAACTTAAATGCTTATTCTGACTGGAAGTCACTTGTTCATAGATTAATTGAAACAAATCTGTTGTGTTTTCAGGAATTCGCTTCCGAAAACAAAGAAGCTGCCAGATCTATGGAACCCGAAGCGGAGGGCGCCACTGATGGCAACGCCAGCTTTGATGTCGGAGCTCTTCTGTGTGAGAAGTACAACGAGTGGTCCAAGTGGTCCCTGTGCAGCCGGAAGTGTGAGCAAACTCGAGTACGCAGGTGTCGGATACCCGAGGAATGTGGAACGAGCTGGGTGAAGGAGAAAAGAACGTGCACCAGGCGGAAAGGTGTCTGCAGCTCATTAACGTACAAGGTATGTTGGTGTTGCGTGTCGGGGGGTAAGGGAAAAGGCGTCGTTTGCATTTGTATAGTCATTATGTTATATTATCACTGCTGACCTACGGCGGCGTCCGTGGTTTAGGCGCTGCGAGTCCGACTCGTAATTCCAACGTACCGCGATAGAAACCCACTGCTGGCTGCGTGGATTTTTATTTTGGTATGGGGCGTCGCAGGTCGACCCAGCCTGAAATGGGTACCAGGACGGGTGCCCTGGGGAAGTAAAGACGGCCCGCGTAATGCTGACCACATTACGCACCCATTCCCGAATGGCCTGTAAATATATGGGGGTGCTTTTCTGATATGCACGATGCGCCTAAAGGCGTGAAAAAGGATCTTTACACTACTTTATTTACTTTTACAGCTAACTCAATGCACATAAGACATTCCCATACGTGCTCAGTACTCCGATGCAACAGCCACTTTGAGATACATCTTCTGATTGATGCCATGAGAAGCTAGCTGTCTATGCTGCCTCTACCGGCCTCGAAGGCGGCACAGACGTTCTTCGCCATGTTTGACCTCTCTGTCACGCAATCGTGTTTGTGCCAGAAATTCATCATTATCCGCTAACATAGTTCGTACAGTGTTGATGATATCTGCTCTGTCTATGCTTCTGCCCACATACGTTTGTGCATTGCTTTGCCAGTTGGTCGCCTATATTAATTCAGATTACAGTATTAGAGCTGGCCGAATCAGTCTAGCAAGAAGCGACAGTGACTATGAGGGTGACAGAAACATTTCTTTTAATCTCTCAATGGCGTAAAAACCTCTGCCAACTCACGCCAAGATATCATATCCTTTGCATGCAGTTCGTCCCAGGCCCACCCACCTTTTAAACACAGTTTCGAGATAGTTTCACTCTCCGTGTCTTTTTTTTGGGGGGAAGGGGGTCTTCCTTTATTCCTATGACCTTGTGGGTTCCAGTGCAACGATATTCTAGTTATATTATTTGCTTTGCCCAGCTTGTGTCCTGTCCAATGTCACGATAATAACATTTAGAGATGGACAAACAGAAGTATGCCAGAGTGTAAAACTAGGATAAGCACGAGTGAGAGAGAGGGAGAGAAGAGAGAAAGAGAGAGATTGGGAGGAGAATAGAGAGAGAGAGAGAGAGAGGGAGGAGGAGAAGGAGGAATAGAGGGGTAATGAGGAAGAGACAGAAGATAGAATTTGTGTTAAGAGATCTATTGAAGCCAAACTTCACTGCGAAAACCTCATTTGATTGAGTTAAGGATCATGGAAAGTCTTACGTGTTGCTGTAATCAGTTATAACTATTGTATATTTCAAGTTTGACTAAACAAACAATGACATATTGCAGGTGATAGGCCTGCAGAAGCGCAATAGGATGATCGAAGAGCTTCTCTACGATCTTCTCTACTCAGCTTGGACTCCCTGGAGCCCGTGCAAACGCTCGTGCAGGCAGCAGAGACAGAGAAAGTGCAAGTACAAGCCTGTATGCATACATTCCTATATTCAGGTTTGTCTGTGTCTTCTAATCTTTGCGTCTACTGTTGTTTTCTTGTTGTTGTTGTTGTTGCTGTTATCGCTATTGTTGCTATACACAGTAATCTACATAGGGTCGAATACTCATAGATAAAGGTTAGTTGCGTATCCTTTACAGGACGTTGCAGAACCAACTCCAACAGCCCCTGACTGTTGTGTGGTTTTTCTAGGCAAATTTAGTCCAGTAGTTTGCCATTGCTCATCGGACGGTCGGCTTTCTTGATACCACTGTCGAGACCAAAGCAAGGCGCATGGCCCGCAGCTGGGATCGAACCCGGTATTCCGGCATTACGAAGCGTTCGCATCGTTCGCAGAACCAAACCCAACATATGTTGGCTACTGTGGTTTTACAAGGCACTTTAACGCTCAGTGGCTTGCCAAGGCTTCTAAAACCGTTGAATCTCGATATCACTGTAGAGATCAACGCATCGCCTTCTGCTGCCCAGAATGCCCAAGGTGATTCTCTTCACGGCACGCCTGAAAGTCTCTTTCTCTAGCCAGTTCCCCAGCCCTGTGTGCTTTTATAAACAATAAATCTCCAATGTTCTGTATCTACAGTCGCGAAGGTCTGCCTCTGCAACATTTTCACTCCTTCGCCGTTCTCTCTGGACCACAATATATATATATATACTATATATATATATATATATATATATATATATATATATATATATATATATATATATATATATATATATATATATATATATATATATATATATATATGTGTGTGTGTGTGTGT